CGATTCTATCTGGGGGAAGGAATCGTAGCCCGAAAAATTGCGATAGCCATTTACCAGTGTCACTTGATTTGTCATTATACTCTGTGCTTAGCGCAACACCAGTTCTGAGCCAGATGAAAACGACAAAAATCTACTTGCAGGGGACAGCAGTTATATACATGTTATAATTGACCATTCATAACATATGTACAACTGGCGAACGGAAGAGGTTTATAATGATAAATAAAAATAACATTTACCTTTAGTTTACCTGTACAAAATCGGCGCAAATGAAAAAATCAAATCGGCGCAAATGAAAGATCGAAAATTTAAAAAATCGGCGCAAATGTCATACGCCCGAAAAACTATAAAATTTAAAAAAGCGAGAATAACACTTTAGGACAACATAGAAATCATTATTCTGTGCATATTGATTAATGAATATTTTATTCTAATTTATATCAAAGTCAATGAAACTCTGTACTAATTGAAGTACTACACGTATTAGGGAAAATGTCAACCCACAACGATGTTTCAATTTTAGATGTAACCGGTTAAATATGAGTATTTGAATGGGGACTTCAAATATTTATTTTAATCCTTTTCGTCCATAATTTGATTTCATTTCTTTTACATTTAAGCACCATTTTAAATCTCTATTCTTTTAAGTTTAAAATAATTTCAGGGCATGTTTCTGTATTCTGTAAACCTCACTCAGACCCTCATACTCTAGGAATTATTCTCGCACAAAATTAATAATTTACCGCTCGTGAAATGGATCATCATCTATTCTACTGATTTTGCTTGGGGTAGGATTTAAATTTTTCAGCTTCAATTATGTCGATTTCTTTTGACTCTGACATATTTAGAAAACTACCGCAAAGGGGTCGGGATTTCCAGAGGGAAATGTTTCCACAAGTCTTGCATAACTCCCAGACGGTATGAATCAGTAACGGCAACAAGACGATATACAAGTTGGTTTAGTAGCGAGTTTCTGCATTTTGTGAAAAAAAAAACCCAGTTTTTAATTTTATTTTTTTTTATTTTTTACCGAGTCAACTGCCTCGGTTGCCTCAACGTAAGTTACGACAATGAATTTTATTCTTATATGATAGGTTTGCACAATAAATATGTTATGACAAACACTGGCATAACTACATAAAACGAAGTACTAGATGAAATGTCAACACTAGAAACGAGAACATAAATACACAAATATGGCATACAATGGATAAGTTTTTATAAGTGGGGCGAGTTGGCAGACCTTTATTATATATTTATCGGGATTTTACCCATTTCCATAAGTGGGGCGAGTTGGCAGGAGTAAATTTAACGGGACTTAACCCTTTTTCATAAGTGGGGCGAGTTGGTAAACAAGAGTGGCGATTTTTTAAAAAGTGGGGCGAGTTGGTGAAAAAGTTAGGCGATTTGGTGTGGGCGATTTGCCAGTGGGGCGAGTTGTTTTGCTTCCCCCTTGAACTCTCCAGATAATTCTAATCCAATCTAACTTATCTTTAAACCCCCTTTGTAGAGGAACCATATTTTCATATGTAGAACAGGTGCTCTCTTTATATACAGTGCTGCTTCTCCTTCCACCATTGGACATCTAACCATATGTACATGCTCAGCTCGGGTGCAATCTATATACAGTGCTGTTACTCCCTCCACCATTCGATATCTGATGTGCGCATATTTACACTGAAGTCCTACCCCCACACAATTTGCGTAAAATCCTTTATTTTACAGTTTAGTTCACTTGATTCCAGAAATTTGTGTGGTTCCCCCAACCACGCCCTTATAGATGTTGAGATAACGGAATCGCTTATTTTATTGTCACCTCGCACTAGATTTATTACTATCCGCATACCATCTTGTAACGGGCTATATGAAGTTGATATAGCAGGCGTCGAGTAAGGCGTTCTATTTGTACTACACTGACTGGAGAGAGTTTCTTTGTTTTCGCTACCGGCTTTAAATCCAGAATATGTTGTAGTTTTTCGTTCGTTGATAGTTCATCAAATTGAATTCCCATTGCGTTCAGCGTTGTAGTTATTTCGTGAAGTATGGTGTTCCTCACTATTCTCAAGCTTTCACATTTCAAGATAAAGTGTTCTATATTTTCTTCTTCCTTTGCACATAACAGACATTTCGGATCAGTCTCATCTTTGTACATTCTGATCCTTTTGCTCTGAAGGATATACGAGCCTGTAAGCAGCTTTAATTTTACTGGCAATCTTGCTGTATCAATAGTAGAGTGGCAGTTGATTTTGAGTAGAGGGTGTATATTTCCGGTTCTCAAATTTTCAGTTGTTAAGAAATTGAGCCCTTTATATAATGGCTGTAACTGAACTATTGATCTATTCCAGTGATTGTATATTGTCTTCTTGACAGTTGAGGTCCATACGGTCTTCTTAACTGGGTTGTTCAAATACCAGCTTGCCTCCTGCAGGTCATACTTTCGTAGCATATGCTTAATAGCAATGAACCAGCTAGAACTTCCATCGTTTTTTATAAGAATTTGGCGTTTTGCAAGTGATTTTTCTACACTGTCGTCAGGCTGGTTGCAGATGTTGTTAAATAGGCCTAATGCTCGGATGTGTACTTGTGCCTCAATAGGTAGTATTCCTGTTAGGATGTTAACAGTTATGTCTGCTACACAGGTTGGTAGAGAAAGTATTTGCTTTAGGAGTTTCTTCTGGAAGTTTTCAAGAAGTGTTAGTGAGCTTGTTGTTGGTAGTATTAGCTCTAATCCATATAGTAGTACTGGAGAGATGTAAATTTTGTACAGGTGCACCATTGTCTCTACGTCAAGACCGTTGTGGCCATGGAATCCTCCCCCAAGCAGGCTATAAGCACTTCGTCTTGCTTTTTTAATATTTTCTTCCACATTTGCTATCATGTTGCCCTTGAGTGATGTAGTTCTAATGATTCCTAGATGTGTGGCTTTCTCAATTGATGGCATATCATTTGGTCCCATTTTAAAGGTCTGGTTGTTAGACTCCTGTTTTCGCTGTTTATGGGAGATGTTCAGGACTACACTTTTTGTTGGTTGTAGTTCGTAGCCTTCCATATATGCATAGTCATAAGCCATATTAATGAGTATTTGTGCTTGATCAGGGTCTTGACTGATAAGCGCGATATCGTCTGCACATGCTGTACTATTTACACTAATATTTCCTATTTTATAGCCAGCTCCAGTTGTTTCGTACATATTAAGAAGTTGATTGATGTAGAGTTTATACAGGTTAGTGCTGAGTATACCTCCTTGTCTGACTCCTTGGTTAACTTTAAATGGTTGAGAGATATTTCCTTCCCATTTGACTACACTTTTTGCGTTTTCGTGCAGGTCTTTAATCAGTCCCCAATGTCCATCATCAATTCCTGCCAAGAATACCCTTCGAAGCATGTGGCTATGTATTACTGTGTCAAACGCTGCTTTTGCATCTAGGAGTACAAGGTAGAGAGTTATATTGTTGTCTTTTGATTCTCTGTAGCTTTCTTCTATTGGTAAGGCTGAATTCAGTGGCGATGACCCTGCTGTAAAACCTCTTTGCTTTTTGTTTTGTGTTTCTAGGACACGGTCATTTGTACGTTCTTTGATGATAGTTTCGATAATCTTTCCTATGACTGGCAACACAGTAATCCCTCTGTAGTTGATAGCTTGCTGCCTTGTTCCCTTGTTTTTGAATACTGGTGTTAAAAGGCCCATCTTGAGTGTTTCTGATATGATCCCATGTTTGAATATGCATTGTACCAGCGGAACAAGAAGTTTCTCTGTATCAGATCCTGCGTGGATGATATGCTCTATTGTTATACCATGGTAGTCTGCCGATTTTCCTTTGTTTATAGAACGGATAGCTTTTGTTATCTCTTCAGATGTTACGTTTTTGATGTTATTTTGTTGTACAAGCTTGTTTATTGATTGAATATCGTGTTCAACTAAATTATGATAAAGGCTGTCTATACGTGTTTTCTCATTGAATGTTGCCAGACTGCTAAAATGTTCTTGAAATCCATTGATAATATTATCGTTCTCAACATATTTTTCACCATTGACTTCTAGTTCCATGATCGCATCATTTCCTTTTTTCCTGTTGTTACGGACCAATTTATGAAACATTTTTGCATCTTTTGTTCTTGTTTCGAGGATAGTTTCCTTCTCCTTGTTTTTTTGTTTAGCTAGTTCAATTCGTACTGCACGTCTGAAGTCCTTTTTAGATTGCTTCTTCTCCATAAGCATTTTATTATTTTTGTTGTTGGGTTTCCCGTGATTTTTCCATACTTTATATTTTTTCCTCGCTGTTTTTAGTGCTACTTGGATTTCTGGTGTCCACACTTTCAGTTTTGGTTTGGCATTGAATATTGCCTTTGATGATGAGGTGAGGTCGGCTGTTTCCCTAAGTAGTTCACACAATTTTAGTATGGCTTCCTCTACTGCTGTTTCTTCCATATTTTCGTTTATTTGGAGACTGTCAATATGTGTATCAATGTGGGCAGAGTACCATTCTTTGTCAACCTTATCCCAGTTGACCTTCTTTTTTATCCTGCTGTTGTTTTGCTTATGATTAACTTCTGCATTTTTGTACTTGAATTTGATGCTCATACGGATAGGATGGTGGTCTGACGTATTTTCTATCAGTTCGTTCGGGACTTGTTTTGCTTGAAAGTCTTGATCTGCTAGGTTATGCAAAAAGTAATCAATTTCTGAGGATTCTTGTCCTATTGAATTAACAAAAGTTTTTGCCTTGTTGTCGTATTTTAAGCCGCATTCATTTATAAAGTCTCGCAGGTATAGATTACGTTTTGTGCCTGTTTGTTCATTCAGATCCTCATTTGTATCTCCTCCTATGATAATTTTATGGGTTTCATTGTATTTTTGGTAGAGCTCATATAATTGATCAATTACGTCTTGGTATTCTGATAGATGGTTTTTACTCCCTTTTGCTGGTAGGTATACTGATGTTAAGAGTATATTGGAGTTGGAGTTGATTCCGGAATAAGACTTTCGACGACGAGTCCAATATTATAATCGCCACTAAACCGGAAGTTGCACAAACGTGTTTTTCGTTTCTCTAAGAAAACGAAAATACGAACAATAAAACATACATATTTTTCTGAACATGATGTATGTCCAACGACATAAATCTAGTTAGAAGTAAAATGTCTGAAACTACATAACATATCAGCAATTCAATCGGATGGTCATTGAGCTGAGACTCGAATATTTCTAAACCATCTCAGTCACGTAGGCAAGTAAAGTGTGATTATTGTAATAGACATTTGTGGGATTTTCCCGGGAATGTCATACTCATCTTATAAAAAGTACTCAAAACGATTTATTATCCAATCAATTTTATATATTTTGAATGAAATGAAACATTGACCTCAAGGTAGAACTATGTCATGTATGTATATACATATCTGGGTTTTGCTTTTTCTTTTGTGTTTATTTTTTTTCTATTCTATATTTTGTCATTTTATATCATTAAGAATTAATAATAATCATTCTTATAAATTATTTGTAATTATACTGCTCTCTTAGGGCGTCCTTGATTGACAATTAAAATCGTGTATTATTTTGTATTGTGCTCCTAAAAATTGACATTGGGTTTAGACAGGTCAGGAATAACCACCAATTGGTGGATTATACCTCAATTGATGTATAATCCACCAATTGACATATAGTGGTATAGACCAGTTGACGTATAATGCAATATTTTCTGTTATAAAATGCTAGTATGAGATAGAAGCATCATTTTGCAACTTACAACCTATTTTATGACCATTATTGAGTCCTCTGAAAGTTTCAGTTTTGTCAAAGCCTGCTGCATCTCTTGAGAATGCATGTGTACAACAATTCTTTTGTTGAAACATCTGTACTATTGACCATGATTGACTTTTAATAATGAAAGTCAAGTATTAACAAAGAGCTCCATTCACCTGTACATGTGGAGTTGTACTCATAATCACATGACTGCAGACAGTATTGATGTCCATTGACAGGTGATTAGTGGTAAATTTGCCAATCAAGAATTGACAAGATAACAATAGAAGAAACTGCAAATACAATTATTGATTAAATGCAATATGTTTTGTCACTATACTAAACTAGGAATGTTTGACATGTTTTCATACAATAATATGGTTTTAAGAAAACAATTCTCCATTTTGGTTGAACAATTTGCTTTGATAAACAAAGAATTATATGTCAATTGGTCTATACTATTATATATCAATTGGTGGATTATACGTCAATTGAGGTATAACATGTATAATCCACCAATTGGTGGTTATTCTTGACCTGTTAGAAACACGCTAAAATAGCAAACCTTGCTAGCGAATGAAAAATATGTGAACAAGAGATCAACAAATTAATACATAATGACAGAAGTAAAAGCTAAAAGACTATATGATTGTCTACATCATCTTGTCAATATCTGCCCTGAGACTTTTGCTTGATTAGGGTACAAGAAAAATTTAGCACCTGGTTATTTCGGCACCTATAGAAAAAGGCTTAAAAGCACCCATGTAAAGTCATACGGGCATTCCGTTGGTCAATTTCAGCACCAAATAATAACTTTAACATTTTTCTGCTCTTTTATCATGTTCATTATTTTAAATAAATTTGGGGATTCGGATTCTATTTTGTTCAGTACATTATTAAAATCATCACATGTAACATGTGTAATTAAGCAGGTGCTAAATGTACCTTGACTTGTACCCGGTCAAATGATTTAATCGTATATGTATGGGAACACCTTGAATACTCCTTAAAGTTCAGCCAAAAAAAAATTCATACAGTAACAAAAGGAAATTGATAATAAACTGTTTTGCAGAAGAACAATAATTGTGGCCTCCCCCCCCCCCCCCCCCCCCCCCCGCCCCATTATTTATTTCAATGTTTTTGCTTGAAATATTGAAAAATATATTCAACATGTTTATAAAAAAAATAACATGGATGCAGAAATACATTAGGTGCCAATTTAACTAGGCCCAGAATTGACTATGCCAGGTGCTGAATTGACCAGGTGCCAAAGTGACTATAATTCCCCTGATGGCTTATAATAGACGTCCCAGTTAAATACATTTGTAGGAAATAAAGGTATCTGTATGTATAGGTCGTAGCAACCTATAGGGGAAAAGCGCTGTTGATTTATTGACAGTCTGTGAGCATGGTGAGAGCAGATTTTTTAGCTTTCCACACTTGCTGTGTTGCACAGCATCTGTGTCTTTTATGTGGTTCCTGTGTATTATATTATTGTAAGAATGAGTTGGAATGTTGTTGTGTTTACTTGGAAGCATATCATAACACTCAGCATTGTTTCTCACTTGTTGACGATTGGAAGTTATCAACTTTATAGCTTTGATGGTTTTCCTTGGTCTTGCTGATTTCAAATAATCATCTGTATTGATAGACAGATATAACTAGAACCAGTCCCAAGGTACATGTAAATGTTGTGGTTGTTGAAGTTTTAGTGTAGCGAACATGATTGTTATACACCCTTATTATATGACTAAAAAAATTCTCTTTTCTCATTGGCTAAAAATATAGGAAATCTTCTTTGGTAAAACATTATGTTCACCGTGGGAAAAATCATGAGAGCTTAATTTAATATTTGGAACAGCTAATGTAAACCTATAAAAAATAATTTATCCTAGGCAATGTCTATAAATGTCTATAAATGTAGGTTTTATTATGTCATGCACATACTCTATTTATTAATTTCAATGTTATTTTTTTTAGTAAATTTTATTTAATATTTCAACTTATAAAAGTTTGCCAACTTTTGCATAAAAACAAGGAACAGATAAATATCTTAAGCAAATACTAGAAAATTGGAGATGGATAAAAAAGTAATATAATAAAACAATTGTTGACCTTTTAATATCAGTTGATACAAGGATTAATCAACAGCAGAGATATGATATTCACCCTCGGCCATTGGCCTCATATCTCTGGGGTTGAAACAGAATTGTACAGTAACTGTCAGTTGTATCAACCTCATTAAAAGTCAATAATTGTATAATGTTCCCTTGTTTTGCAATCCCCTGTTATTATTATAAGCCACCTGTCCTTGTATCCTTTTAGCTTGTTGGTTTCTGCTACAGCATAAAGGTAAATATTTTCCAACATCCTTCAAGGTACTAAAATGTGTGTTAACATATAACATGTATAAGGGATCTACAACATAAATGTATATATATCATGTATACACTGTGTAGCATTGCCAAGGGATATAGGTACTCCCGAAGCGGTAAGTATCTATTCCCTGTACAGTCATGATAGTAAATAACTATTCGCTGTACAATTTATTTAACCAATGTCAGATGTGTTAATCAAATCATTGATAAACATGATAAAGGCAAAGTTATAATTTAGAACATTAAAAGAGCTATTTGCCCATATGTAATTTTGAAATTTTATCATTCAGTTTTCTTTCTATTCATGTTATTCACACAAAATTGGTCTTTCCATGTATAATCTTTACAAAATCTGACAATTCTGCACAGCATGCATGTAGCTTGAAAAAGCTCTGTGAACCATACTTTTTATTTTATTTTTGAAAATACCGTGGTTGAACTAGATTTTAGCATTTTGGATGGAATTATTCTATTGCCATGATTGCTATTGATTTAAGTGTCACATCTGCAACGTAAATTTAATTTTATCATAGTAAAATTATTTTTTTCAGAAAAATCATCATGTTGGAAAAATTACTAAGTTCTTATATCTTTGAGAGCTTTCAGATTCCTGTATGGACCTTACTTCTAGCAACCATTTGTTTGATCTGGATGTGGAATTCTGGAAGAAAAAAAGAAAACAGTTCAGAGGTTTGTATTATTGTTTTATACCATGCTGTATGTGTGATTTGAGAAAATTTAAAGGAGCATTTGCTACAATCTATAAAAAAAATAAAAGAATTTTTTTATGTTTCAAACATGAATAAAAGTGAAATATTTAATTAATAATTCACCATTAATCTACAAGCATTGGTGATGTATTTTGTTTTATTCTAGAAGCATAGATAGATATAAGAAGATATGGTATGAGTGCCAATGAGACAACTCTCCATCCAAGTCACAATTTGTAAAAGTAAACCATTATAGGTCAAAATACGGCCTTCAACACAGAGCCTTGACTCACACCGAACAGCAAGCTATAAAGGGCCCCAAAAATGACTAGTGTAAAACCATTCAAACAGAGCCTTTACCTATGGAGAGACTCAGAAAAATTCAGAACACTATATTCGTATATTCCGTGAACTGCTTTTGCATGTCTTTTAATTCAATTTTTATACCACCTCTCTGGAGCTAGTCTGTCTCACTTATTAACTGTTAGTAAAAGATGTTCAGGTGTTTTTCAACTGTGTGTGTTGTCCATTTAGAAAGAATATATCCGGTAGCAGATAACTTTCAGACACTATGTATATAAGTAGAGTGCCACTATCAATCCTTAAACCATTGTGGTGACGTCAGCCTATTCATTTACTGTGGATTCTTTTTCTAGAATCAACGCTTCCTAAATCTGCCGCTGAAATTGACTCACCAAATTATATTCAATTGCTTCCTTTGTGTGCCTAATTTCATTAAGTTTGAATTGGCTAATTTACTGATTTCTGTTCACTAATGGAATTAATTTAAAAACTTACCTTTATTTTTTTGTAATTTTTATATGCCTTCACTGGGAATCGAACCCTTCCTTGAAATCTGTTATGTGTGACTGACATCAACACATCGACGAAACCTCTCGGCTACCAATGGGTTACACTATAGATGTCTATTTTATATATTTAAATGAACATCTGATATACATCGGTTCATCGGACACACAGGGCTTGTACCTTTATATAGACACAATAGGCAGTCGTATAGTATGAGTTGTTAGCCGCGAGGTTAGCATGGTTAAAATCAATGAGTTAAAGATAGGGATTTGTCGGTTTAGGTTCGAATCCCTGTATCCTCTCTGTTGTTCCAATTCTTAAGTGATCCTGTTTTTTTTCTAATTTTGCATGTTATAGCGGATATTTTTGTAATAATAGCGAGTTTTACCGGTTGTTTTTTTTTATTATTATTGGCTATTTCACATGTTTGAAACAAAAATGATTACTTTCTATTTGTCAATTTTTGTTTTATAAATATAGTATGATTTCATCTGTTTTACTACATAATTTTACAAAGGTTTGTTCGCAAATTCCTATGCGAGAAAATCGTGATGTGCCTAGAGTGCTAGAAAAATTTCGATAACATACTTATTATATATACTTTATATATGCTTTTTGGTCGGGTTGTTTTCTCTTTGACACGTTCCCCATATCCATTTTCAATTTTATTAGAAATAATTTCGATTATGTCTTATTTTGTATAAACAGATAATATTCATATGCCTGGTAATATAAAGATCTTTAGAAGTGTTATATTTGTATTTTGTTAACCAATTAATTTTGATCTGAGATTTATCAATGCATCGTTGGACACGATAACATGGTTATATAAACTCACTTACAATACCTTCTAATTAAGAAAAGGCTTTAATTTTGAAAAGAAATTAAAACAAGGAATTATTTGAATCTGGAATAATTTTGAAATCTGGAAAATTGATGAGAAATATATGATGAAAACTAACCCAACTAAATAGGGTTAGCCATGCACGCATGGCTAAGGTGGGTCAGTTAGTTCATACTGAAATGATAGTGAAAGTAAAATTAACCTTAGCCATGCACGCATGGCTAACCCTATTTAGTTGGGTTAGTTTTCATCATACATTTCTAATCAATTTTCCAGAATTCAAAATTATTCCAGATTCAAATAATTCCTTGTTAATAACACAATAGTTTAAGTTATAGATACAATGGATAAGCGTGGATTCATGAAAAACAAACCATTCGCCCTCCGGGCTCATGGTTTCTTTTTCAAGAATCCACGCTTATCCATTGTATCTATATAACATCATTCTGTTTCTGATGAGGCCAAAAAAAAATATATGTCTGTTTACGGTTACCCAACCGACCCTACTTTTGAGCGCCGACCCTAAGTCATTTTATTTCCGTCGTAAAGTGAAAAATAAACTGAACTTGTGTCAAAAGCGAAGTTAGTGTTGCCAATAATATAAATCAATTGCCTGATACATCCCAATGTTCACAATCATGAATATGACAGCTGTTTTAAGGAAATTCGCGACTCGTGTGATGAAATAAACACTTTGCTGCCATTTTTTTCCCAACCAATAACCAAGTGAAATAATCCAATCATTAAAATAACGGGTAAAATCGGCCCATGGTCAACTCCGACCATAACAAGACAAAACCGCATGACTCAAAATCATGTCACAAAAAATAAAATGAAAAAATAAAATAAAATGGAAATACCGACCTACCTACCCTATTTTTATACGACCGCAAAAATTAAAAATTTTTTGGTCGTATATTGGTATGACGTTGGCGTCGTCGTCGTCCGGCGTCGTCCGAAGACACATTGGTTTTCGCACTCTAACTTTAGTTTAAGTGAATGGATCTCCATGAAATTTTACCATAAGGTTCAATACCACGAAAGGAAGGTTGGGATTGATTTTGGGGGTTATGGTACCAACAGTTAAGGAATAAGGGGCCAAAAAGGGGCCAAAAATATGCATTTTTGTAACTTCCAGACAATAACTTGTGTGTAAGTGTATGGATCTCTCTGACATTGTACCACAAGGTTCCATATCACAAAGGAAAGGCTGTAATTGATTTTGGGGGTAATTGCCTCAAAATTTTAGGAATTAGGGGCCAAAAAAGGGGCAAAAAACAAGCATTTTTCTAGTTTCATGACAATAACTTGTGTGTAAGTGTTTGAATATTTCTGAAATTGTACTACAAGGTTCCATATCACAAAGGGAAAGCTGGAATTGAGTTTGGGGGTAATTGCCCGAAACATTTAGGAATTGGGGGCCAAAAAGGGGCCAAAAATAAGCATTTTTCTAGTTTCCAGACAATAACTTGTGTTCAAGTGTATGGATCTCTCTGAAATTGTACTGCAAGGTACCATACCACAAAGGGAAGGCTGGGATTGAGTTTGGGGGTGATGAATCATAAGGGGGTTTAAAAAATTTGGGGGGGGGGGATTTTTTTTTACTTTTTTTTTCTTTTTTTCCTTTTTTTTCTTTTAAAATTTTCCATTTTAAGTTGGTTATTTCTGATTAATATTTAAAAGCAAATAATAATGATATGGTAGGAGATACACACCAAACAGGATGTGTAAATTATTATATAATAAGTATTGTGCAATAGCAAGAAATTTTCAATTGCACAGTATTGCACAATAGCAAGAAATCTTCAATTGCACAGTATTGCGCAATAGCAAGAAATCTTCAATTGCACAGTATTGCGCAATAGCAAGAAATATCCAATAGCACAGTATTGCACAATAGCAAGAAATCTTCAATTGCACAGTATTGCGCAATAGCAAGAAATCTTCAATTGCACAGTATTGCGCAATAGCAAGAAATATCCAATAGCACAATATTGCGCAATAGCAAGAAATTGTCAATTGTACAGTATTGCGCAATAGCAAGAAATATTCAATTGCACAGTATTGTGCAAAAGAAGATACTTCGTATAAATTGCTTATTTCTTGATCAATTTCAATGGGGTTTTATTCTTGAATTCTTGGGGTTCTTTAATATGCTGAATCTAACCGTGTATTAAGTTTTTGGATTTTGGGCCCCGTTTTTAAATTGGTCCACATTGAGGTCCAAAGGGTCCAAAATTTAACTTTGTTTGATTTCATCAAAAATTGAATTATTGGGGTTCTTTGATATGCCGAATCTAACCGTGTATTTAGATTCTTAATTTTTGGTTCCGTTTTCAAATTGGTCTACATTAAGGTCCAAAGGGTCCAAAATTAAACTTAGTTTGATTTTAACAAAAATTGAATTTTTAGGGTTCTTTGATATGCTGAATCTAAACATGTATTTAGATTTTTGATTATGGGCCCAGTTTTCAAGTTGGTCCAAATCGGGGTCCAAAATTAAACTTTGTTTGATTTCAACAAAAATTGAATATATGGGGTTCTTTGATATGCTGAATTTAACCATGTATTTAGATTTTTGATTTTTGGGCCCCGTTATCAAATTTGTCCACATTGAGGTCAAAAGGGTCCAAAATTAAACTTTGTTTGATTTCATCAAAAATTGAATTCTTGGGGTTCTTTGATATGCTGAATCTAACCATGTATTTAGATTTTGGATATTGGACCATAATAGGTGAATGTCCAATTTAAAATTTTTAAGTTCTTAGACCACATTCATTCTGTGTCAGAAACCTATGCTGTGTCAAATATTTAATCACAATCCAAATTCAGAGCTGTATCAAGCTTGAATGTTGTGTCCATACTTGCCCCAACTGTTCAGGGTTCGACCTCTGCGGTTGTATCAAGCTGCGCCCTGCGGAGCATTTTATATTAAAGTATGTAACCTTAAACAGACATATTTTTTTTTTGGCCTGAGGGTCCATGAAGGATCGATACCGGTCATGCTAAGGAATCATCACTAGGCGCTGTTAATTATGTGTTTTCTGCATTACCTTTACTTTTTATTATGTAAATGATGGTTTTGGGATATTTCAGAAAATTGAAGATCAGAAAAGCACAGAATTACCAATAACAAATGAGAAAGTGATAGAACTGAATGCTAACAGCAGACAGAAGATAACAAAGAAAAGGAAAATAAAAATATTCTATGGAACGCAAACTGGAAATGCAAAGGTTTGGATGATTTGATAGGTTTGCTGAAATGAAATAAATTTGCGGCTAATGTGAGTGGCAGGATATGCCAGACCCTTAATGTTACTTCTACAATAAATAATTCATTTCAGTTTTTAAGACAATTATCTTTAGCCTGTCGTTTGCGTACATCAAGACAAGAAATTAAACATACTGGGAACAAAAATTATTGCAGGTTATATTCTATCAATGTATGTATTACTAAATGTTTTTGAACACTAATGGTAGAGTACAAATAACTAATGATTCCTGTTTGTTGTTAAAAATTTGAAAAAAAAAAAACATTTTTGAGTGTGTGTTGAAGCACAAAGTACAAATGAAGTAAGTAAAAATTTAGGGAAGTTATGAACTACTGTGGAATCATTATTATTCATGTGGTGCCAATTCTCAGGAATTATGTGGGTATAATTACTGTTTGGCAATGGCCCAAAAATTAGATATCCTTGATAATAAAATTGTTTTTCAATTCACAAAATTTGTTACCCACAAAACTACAAGAATCCACGTTACCTGATATTAATTTTCAAGATTCACTGATTTTTTTATTCATATGCAATGTTTTTCCTCAGATGCTTGCAGATAATCTTTGTCGTGAAGCTACAGAGCGAGGTCATGAGGCTGAGGTGATAGACTTAAAAACATACGACCCAGAAGATAATCTGGTTACAGAGGTATTGTGTACAAAAAAAACCATTCTAATTTGTTAGTTTGAAAAATATTTTTTTATCATTTATGAAACTATTAAATGAAAATAACATTTTATAGATTTTGTGCGTCCAAAGTGCTTTTGAATTGACCTTCATTAGGAATAGGAACCCTCAAACAAAAATTTGAAAGCCAAGGTTGTATAAGTACTTGAATATGTAAGGGGATTATCATGACGAAAGTGGACCTTAAAAGAGTATTCAAGTCAATCTACATTTACATGTAATGTCAACTTTGCATGTCAGAGCGAGTTGAAACTTTAGCTTCTTAATCATGATAATTAATTCTAAATTTAAAAGTTATGAAGAGTAAAGTGTGATACATTAATTTAAATTATAATGTTTCCTTAAAAGCAACATACCAGCCATGATATGAAGCTTTCTGATGATTACACAATTCAAAAATTTTAGATTTTTTAATCAGTTGGTATATCTAATCATTACTAATCTCTTGTTAAATTGTGTTTTTACTAACGTTTGTACACTTTTATTTTTCAGCTAAACAATTACTCCCTACTGCTCTATAATACTAGTTTCTGTTAAACTAGTTTGTGTTTAAGGCCACTTTCAGGGACTTTGTCTATATCATTATGACCAGTTTGTTTTTGGTTGAGGAGGCCAGAGTACCTGGAATGCCAACAACCTTTGGCACACAAACTAGCAAGCCTTTGTTATTTAAGATCTTAAGACATAAGTGGGGCTAGACTGGACAACCTCAGAGTTGACATACTAATGAACACTGTTGATGAACTACTTAGACCACTCAGCCAACGAGGCCCCTAAAAATGAGCTATGCTACTGTTAGAACTAAGATATTACTACCATGTAGGCTTCAAACCGTATCTTTTTCATTATTTATAAGATGTAATTGGACTTAAACTTTAGTGAAGTCCCCTATTTTGGTGCTTAATATTTTTCAAACTCTGATCTATCACAGATAAACAGTTATTTTAAAACCATATCTGATAGAATTATTTGACTAGTCAAAATTTAATGTTTTACATTACAGGGTGAAAATGGTGTGTGGATTGTTTTATTTGTCTCCACTTACACAGATGGCACACCACCAGAGGGCTCTGAATGGTTTTGTAAATGGTTAGAGGAAAGCTCAACAGATTTCAGAATCCCCAAGGCATTGCTGAAAGATCTCCATTATGCTGTATTTGGACTTGGGAACTCATTGTACACAGAAAATTATAATGCAGTAAGCTAATAACATGAATAACCCATCTTTAAATGTTCATTTTGCCACCATTGTCCTCAACTAACTATTTAATAACTACAGTAAAACAGTATGTTCAGCCAAATGAAGAATCTTTTGTAGAATCCAATATATTTTACTGTTAGAGAAGTATAAGATGTAAATAATTTGAGATTCTATATAGGAGTATGTTCGGTAATGGCCAGATATGGCAGCGATTATTAAGTTCAATGTTTCAAGATAAAACATGTTTTAAGTTGATGAAAAGACACATGAGAAAGTTAAGTATAACTTTTTTTGTGCAAGTGTTATTTTAAAGCGTTGATTTCTTCTTTCCAAATAAGCAAAAAATAGAGATTTTTGCAAATTTTGACGAAATCATTTTGACAACCTAAATATTCAAGTCAGATATGTAAAATGTTATAGCAAACAATATATGTGAAAAGAACTTTTATATTTATGCATGCACTCAAATGAATGTCGTCTGCTTTATCAGTTATCTGATTATAGTCAAGGTCAAGTGAATTATTTTTCTAATGAATATGAAAATAGAAGTACATAGATTTGTTGTGTCTGAAACCTTTTTTTGGATTAATCATCATGATCCTCAAACACATAAAATTAAGAGCCAATGATGCAAAACATATGTCGATGTTTAAGGGTTATCTCCCCTGAAGGCCTTTTTTCCAAGGAACAATGACAAACATGATGAATTTGAATTAACAAAAAAAAATTTTGTTGGGTTTTTTAATTTACAAACATTAACATAATTTTCATTAATAAATTATATTAGGAAATGAAAACTTTATATTATCTGTGGTTGGATTCTAAGTGCTAACCATACCCCTAGTATGCATCTAATTTTATAACAGCCCTTAAATAAATTGATCCAACCTCTGAATTCTTAAAGTGAATTCTTAAGCAGATTTTATGCTGTGAAATAACAAGTTCAAACTTCATTCATGATTTTTTTACAGGTTGGAAAGAAGGTTGATCGCTTTTTAAAAGAATTATCAGCAAAACCAATACTTTCAGTTGGTTTAGGTGATGAAAATGTAGCAGAAAGTTTGAAGGGAGGTAAGCAGGCATATTTTTCTTTACAATAATGCAATTTACAGCTTTTAGGCTTCTTCAGATTTACTCTCTCGACACTCCAAAATGCAAACAAAATTCAATTCTAATATATATATGAATAGGGGTGGTGGTATGATTGCCAATGAAACAAATATCCACCGAAGTCCAAAGCACAAAAACGTGAACGCTTCCCTTGAGATATGGTAAAGTCCAACAAAGGCCAGAGGGCGAGGAGGTGAAAATCAATTGGTCATAGTACGACCTTCAACTTACTGTATAGAAAGCGTTAAAAATAAAAAAACAGGATGACAAAATGTGAAAAAAGTCAGAAATCAAAACCAGCCGACTGATTTATACTAAAACAATAAAGGAAAAACGTTTATGACAGACAGTAACCAATGACAACCACTGGACTGCAGGCACCAAATTTAGAAAAGATTTCTGAATTAAATCTTTGTCAATACTATTGCAAACAAATCAAAACAATAACCAAAAAAATATATCTCCAAATTGAAAATAAAAACAAATCATTATTACTATTAATGCCATATATATTTCAGGAATGGAGAAGGATTTCACAGCATGGAAGAAAGAGTTTTGGAAGAAATCAAAGAAAGTAAAAGACGATGATACAGCTGTTAAAGATACCTGTGGAACAGGGAAGAAAACGTGTGATGGGAAGTGTAAATGTAAGGAAGATGGGGGAAAGTGTAGTAGTGAGGAGGAAGATGAAGAAGGGGAGGTAACTCATATATTTATAATTGTTCATGATATTGATTAAACCTCCCCAACTCATGTTAGTTATTGCTAATATTCTCAAATATGTAACCCTCAATGGAAATTGACAAACAAGTTTTATTATGTCTTAATGAAGTAGAATTTATAATTGTTCATGAAAATGATAAAACTTCCCCAATTCAAGTTAGTTATTGCTATTATACTTGTACATTGAGTCCTCTATGAAAATTGTCAAATATAACCTTAAATTTAAATACAATTTTCATTGTTTCTTATGAAGTAGAAAGAAAACCTCTCTAGTTGTAATTTAATTCAATTCAATTCAAACTGTTATTGTCAAAATATATTGTGACAAAAATTAAAAAAAACATCAGTATACAAATTGAGGGAAACATTTCAACATTCCCTGTCCTCATGCCATCAGTTCTATTGACTGTTTAAAAGGAACCAAGTTTATTTTCCTCTAATTAGTCCCCTACCGACGAAGTCCAAGGGGACTTTAGGTTTGCATTCTGTCCGTCTGTCTGTCCATCCGTCAGTCCGGCAAATCAGTTTTCCACACTTTTTTCTCTGTGCTTGAAGATATTGATTTGATATTTGGTGTATTGTTTTATCATGACAAGTTACAGATCAAGTTCGAATTTTGTTCCTGTCTGATGATTTTGTGCAGAGTTATGGTCCTTGGACTTAGAAAATTCACTCAAATAATCAGTTTTCCACACTTTTTTCGTCATGCTTGAAGATATTGATGTGATAATTGGTATATAGTTTTATCATGACAAATAACAGATCAAGTTCGAATTTTGTTCCAGGATGATTTTGTGCAGAGTTATGGTCCTTGGACTTGGAAAATTCACTTAAATAATCAGTTTTCAACACTTTTTTCGTCATGCTTGAAGATATTGACTTGATACATGTATTTGTTATATAGTTTACACCATGACAAGTTATAGATCAAGTTAGAATTTCGTTCCATTACAATGAATGTTTAACCGGTAGGGGACTATGTATTGTCATGCAATACTCTTAGAATGCTTGTTTATGATATAAGGTTGAGGATACATGTCATTCTACAACTGATAAATGTTTGCGGTCCTATGATGGTATGACGTTGTCGCCGTCGTCCTTGTCCTACTCATCATCATCGTCATCCAAAAACATTTGGTTTTCAGACAAAAACGTGAGTATAAATGTATGGATCTCTATCAAATTGTACCACAAGGTTCCATACCACAAAAGGAAGGTTGGGATTGATTTTAGGGGATATTGTGCAACCAATCATATAAATTTTTGTTCTTCATCTAGGATCTATATGAAACAACTACAGAAGAGGAAGACAATGCTGAGGAATTGTTAAATGAGGATGGAGATGGTTCATCATTACAGACAACCAATGGGGTTGTAGATCTAGAGGATCTTGGGAAAGTGATGCAAACTATGAAAAAAGCAAAAGTATGTTATTGGATATTGTTGAACGTGTTGAATAATAATTTGGGAGAAGTGATTTTAGGCTCTGAATGGCATATTTAAGTTTTTAGTTTTCACTTATAAAAAAATGTTTTTTAGGGCCAAGCTCAAAGAGCACCTCCCTCTCCTGTGCCTCCAGGTGGTGAATAGTGGTAGTTCTGATCGTATGGGTGATTGTAAAGATAACTAATTGTATTTTGGGTGCCAACCTCACAGAGCCTCTTGCCCCAGCTTGGAAATAGTCGTAGGCTTCTCCTTTTGAGTGATTGGCAAGAGGATAATACATACCATGCATTGGATATAGTGTTAAGTGAATTTCATTTTCCTGGTCAGACCAATCCAGACATAGAAAAACTATAAATATTTCATTTAACTAATTATGGTTTTAGATAATTGACCAATGTCCTTTTTAAAAATGATCAACTTTTTGCAGGTAAGAAGGAAAAAAGAAGAATCAGCACAGTCAACTGGTGAACCCAGAGAAATGGTTACACCTATGTTAAAGAAGGCATTAGAGAAACAGGGATACAGGCTGATAGGGTCACACTCAGGGGTCAAGCTATGTAGATGGACAAAGGTAATAAGTTTATAAATGTTACAGATAATGCTTATATAAAATAAGACGATGGGAGCATAAATGCCAATGAGACAACTGTCCACAAGAGATCAGATGAAAAAGAAGTTAGCAACAATAGATTACTGTAAGACCTTGAATGGTATACATTTTTATTTATAAAATGATTGGAATCATATGGAATAATGTTGTTAACATATTTACTGTAGGACAGATATTTTGTATTGAATGTACTAAAGTTTCAAATTTTTTTTAGAGAGTCACTGTCCGTCACATTGAATAAATGTTTACCTCGGTACATGCATAAAAGTATAATAATTCTGAAAAAAATCTGCACGTTCAGAAACATAAAAAAAAACTATTTCTCATTTTTGTCTCCCATTGAAGTTCCAAAGGTGAGATTTAGGCATGCTGTTTCTGATGGTGGCTTTGTGATTAGGTCTGTTTTATAGGAACGACTAGTGGTCGACCAATGATATTTGGCATGCATTTGTACTAGCATTGGCACATCTTGTTTCAATGGAGATTAATAGGTGTGCCTCCGAAGCACTAACTATTTTATGAAAAAATACATAAGCTACAGAAATATTGCATAAAGTATGAATCTATATGTTCTACCTCAAGTTTTGTACAAATGTAGATAACTCCAATTCAAAATATTGTCCAAAGCTGTTTGCTGAAAGCAAATTTTACCCCTCAATACTCGCAAGCATTTTGATTGCTATTTGCAGATGTTAGAGATCATCTTTTAGCAAAATACGGTGAAATTGACATAATCAAAGTACTAATTAAATTAACATGTGAAAGTCAAGACATGCATAAAAATATAAAAAATGAATATCTCATTCCAGTGCCGCAAAGAATAAGACAATTCAAACTAGTAGAACTTTTCATCTTGTCATTTATTTGCAAAGACCCAAGCAAAAACTGTAATTCTTATCACAAAGATGATTGGCTAAAGTGATATTTTAAAGGTAGATTTTGACCAACATTTTAAACCTATATTATATCAATGCTTTCAATTTCAGTCCATGTTGAGAGGAAGAGGAGGTTGTTACAAACATGCATTTTATGGTATAGAGAGTCACAGATGTATGGAAACTACACCCAGTCTGGCTTGTGCAAATAAATGTGTCTTTTGTTGGAGGTAGGTGCTGCCTTAAATTGGGACTTCCAGTTACCAAATGGGGCTAATGTCATAAAAAAGGGAAGGCGCTATTGGCTAAGGTGTTTTGGAAGAGTGATACTTTAAAATGATAATTATATCTGCTGTAGTATTTACAACATCTGTCTGTCAAGCATTGACAGATAATGATGAAACTTCACACAGTTGTTTAACACTATTTAATCATAGGAATATAATCCCTGTCCAACATGTTGAAAGGGAGATAATTGAAATTACATACCTCAATGTACTATTTGTATTTCGGGGCAGTGGGTGTCCTTTTGTGAGATCACTCACAGTTCCCATTGACACAGCAATTATTAGAGATTTCCATATGCTTTCCTAGTATTGTTTTTGTATCCGCCCTGATTTATATGTTTTGTAATCCCTTTGCAGATTCTGTGTCTGGAGGGATTTTGTGATTTGGATGGACGGCAAAATCAGAAAAATTGCTTCAGACAAAGAAGCCCAAAAGGGATTATATGTTTTTTTACCCTGATTTACATTGCTATGAAGGAGCACCCATTGAAATTCAAATAATCAGCAGTTTATAATGATTTGAATTATTACAATTGTTTACTAGGTTTGTATTTCAGGGTAGAAGGGTATTGTTAGTTGGTGTGGTCTGTTGTGCTGTCCAATATTTATGGTAAATCTAGTTATCCTTTTTATGTATCTTAATTTGTAAGATTTAGAAAGAAAGAAGAATGTTTGGGAGGAAATTAATAAATATTTTGTAAATAAAGATATATAACATGAAATCAATTGGGAGAATTAATTTTATACCCTCACATAGAAGGATCGGAGTATTCTGGTTAAACCCTGTCCCTCCGTTATAGTCTTCTCATGTTTCCTGTTAGCATGCTATACTCTTTGATGCATTTTCACATCCAATGCTCATCAACTTCCTGTTTACCGAATACTCATAGTAAGAGTATCATAAGTGAGCTACAACTCACATTTAAAGTAGGGGCCTCTGTGGCCGAGTGGTCTAAGAAGTTACTACTATAATAACTAGCCAGTCAACACTGAGGTTGTGAGTTCGAACCCCGCTCGTGCGGGTGCACTCGACTCCTATCTTAAATGACTAGGATTGTCAGTTTTCCTATCGAAGGTCGTGGTTTTCTCCGGGCACTCCAGCTTCCTCCACCAATAAAAACTGACCGCCACGAAATAGCCCAAAAGCGGTGCTTAAAAGTGCCGTTAAAACACCAAAAATCAAAATCAAATCAAATCACATTTTAACTTGTTTATTTCAGACATATGATACCTGATTAAATAGAGAATTCTTCCATGTCTTTGATTTTTGGTGATACTTGTGTACACATCCAAAGTGTATGAAACATGTAAATCAAGTTTTAAGATAAAAATTCCGGCGGCGGCAGCGGCGGCGGCGGCGGCGTTAGCTAACTTCTTAAAAGCTTTATATTTTAGAAGGTGGAAGACCTGGATGCTTCATACTTTGTATATGGATGCCTCATGTTACGAAGTTTCCGTCAGTCACATGTCCAATTTCCTTGACCTCATTTTCATGGTTCAGTGACTACTTGAAAAAAAAAGTTCAGATTATTTGTAATGTTAAATTCTCTCTTATTATAAGTAATAGGATAACTATATTTAGTATGTGCGTACCTTGCAAGGTCCTCATGCCTGTCAGACAGTTTTCACTTGACCTCGACCTCATTTCATGGATCAGTGAACAAGGTTAAGTTTTGGTGGTCAAGTCCATATCTCAGATACTATAAGCAATAGGTCTAGTATATTTGGTGTATGGAATGATTGTAAGGTGTACATGTCCAACTGGCAGGTGTCATCTGACCTTGACCTCATTTTCATGGTTCAGTGGTTATAGTTAAGTTTTTGTGTTTTGGTCTGTTTTTCTTATACTGTATGCAATAGGTCTATTATATTTGGTGTATGGAATGATTGTAAGGTGTACATGTCCAACTGGCAGGTGTCATCTGACCTTGACCTCATTTTCATGGTTCAGTGGTTATAGTTAAGTTTTTGTGTTTTGGTCCGTTTTTCTTATACTTTATCCAATAGGTCTACTTTATTTGGTGTATGGAATGATTGTAAGGTGTACATGTCCAACTGGCAGGTGTCATCTGACCTTGACCTCATTTTCATGGTTCAGTGGTTATAGTTAAGTTTTTGTGTTTTGGTCCGTTTTTCTTATACTTTATCCAATAGGTCTACTATATTTGGTGTATGGAATGATTGTAAGGTGTACATGTCCAACTGGCAGGTGTCATCTGACTTTGACCTCATTTTCATGGTTCAGTGGTCAAAGTTAAGTTTTTGAGTTTTGGTCTTTTTTCTTATACTATTATGCAATAAGTCAACTATATTTGGTGTATGGAAATATTCTGTGATGTACATGTCAGTCTCGCAGGTTTTATTTGACCTTGACCTCATTTTCACAGTTCATTGCTCAGTGTTAAGTTTATGTGTTTCAGTCTGTTTTTCTTAAACTATAAGCAATAGGTCAGCTATATTTGTTGTATGGAAGGATTGTAAGCTGTTCATGTCTGCCTGGCATGGTTCATCTGACTTTGACCTCATTTTCACGATTCATTGGTCAATGTTTAGTTTTCTTGGTTAAGTCTGTTTCTTAGAAACTATAAGCAATAGGTCAACTATATTTAGTGTATTGAATGATTGTAAGGTGTACATGTATTTCTTGTTTGGTTTATATGACCTTGACTTCATTTTCTTGGATCATGTTAAGTTTATGTAATAGTTGTAGTAAAGCTTTCATTTAGGACTATCAACATAATATCAATGGTTAGTAAAGAAGGCGAGACATTTCAGCGTGTCCACTCTTGTTAAAATGATGGAATGCTTTTTGATTTCTAGATGCTTCTTGATTTTTCTTTCCTTTTTCAGACATCATACTAATCCTGTAGGTACAGAATGGAGATGGAAGATGGACGATCCAAATACTGTTTTCCAAGGAGCTTTAGATAACCATGTGGGTTTAATAAAACAGTTCAAAGGTCAGTACATGATACACGGAGTGAATTGTAATCTTCTTTTTAAAATTTCATGTTTCAGAATTCAAAAGACAATGATTCATTTGATCATTCATGTCTACCAAAAAGCTCATAATTTTGCTTGAAGTTCCGACCACCTCAGCCATTATAGAAAAAAAAAATATGGGGTATCCATCCATGACACAAAATCAGTACATGCACAGCAACAAAACTATAAAAGCAAAGGAACACAGTGAAGCTTCCAACACAGAGCAAAAACTCTCCCCTCACTGCAAGTTGAAGACGGTCCCTAGCACTGGTTTGAGTAGAATTCTTTGCAGACTGAGGATCACACCACTGGTGTGAAAAGTTAAAGGCATGAATTAATAACATTAAAATAAATCTGGCAAAGAAATCAAATAGTTAACCAGAGATGGTTTTGACTTTCCTGTTGATATCTATTTGATTTTATTGCTTGTAAATACTTTATGTGTTCAACTTCCCAAAACTCTTGGTGCACATTAGAATCAGAATTTTTGTTGACATAAAATTCCACAAGCAGCAATGTATCTGTGGGATGTATGAACTTTCTTGGGTAAACAAATTTTCATATCTCACTTAGGGTACAGAAAGTAAATGTATACTATTACACTCTGTATCACCAATTGACCACAATTCTAAAACTTCCTGATTCTCAGATTTAGTTGAATATAGAACAGACATGTTGTAATATTGTGAATACTTCATAATCATTTGTAATGCTTTGTAAATACAGGTGTCCCTGGAGTAAAACCAGAAAGATTTGCAGAAGGTTTAGAACCTCAGCACTGTGCCTTGTCCTTAGTAGGTGAACCTATCATGTACCCAGAAATCAACAGATTCATAGAACTACTTCATGGAAAAGGCATCTCATCTTTCTTAGTTACTAATGCACAATTTCCTGATGCAATAAGGTACTGATTGGGGGAAACGTTTTGCTACAAAATTAACTGTCAGCATAAACATAAGTTTTATTCTTGCTATCTTCAATTTGTGATACTTTACATGCTTTATGTGGGTTACTTTTCAAAGAATTCAACACTATCAGGGATACTTTTGAGAAATATTTAAACTTTTTTGTTCTCATATGTTTAAGGGATACCATTTGAATACATTCATATCAATTATAAAGTGATAGAGTATGAAAGCCAATCAAATGGGTAAATACAAAATATACTCTTCAAAAAATTACATCTTTGACTCATTTGTTGAAGTTATCATAAAAGCAAACTTAAGTTTTATGCATTTTAGTATACACTAAAACGGTTCACATTTAATGTTGTAGGTCAATAGATTATCACTCTAACTCTGTAAATATTGTTTCAGCAATCTGGTTCCTGTTACACAATTATATGTTAGTATTGATGCCAGTACAAAAGAAAGTTTAAAGAAAATAGATCGTCCATTATTCAAAGACTTCTGGGAAAGATTTATAGACAGTTTAAAAGCTCTAAGTGCTAAACGTCAAAGAACTGTGTATAGATTAACATTAGTAAAAGCATGGAATACTGATGAACTGGATAATTATGCTGACTTAGTGTCACTTGGAAAACCTGATTTTATTGAAATTAAGGTGAATATTAGTGAGAGGTGTAATATTTTATGACAAGGAAAGTTATGGACACTCTAAACTTGTTTCAAAAAGTTTAATTAAGTGTGTCGTTGTCTTTCAAATATAAGAAAATAAGCGTAATCATTTCACAATGTCATATCCAAATTATAGATAAAGGTAGTTAAATTGATACAAATATTAAAATAAAATTTCGGTAGAAATTAATGATATAGAAAGAATATGTAGATAAGATATGTTCTGGGTCAAACCTGAACCTTGTTAATCAATAAAAAGCACTTTTTTCTTGATTTTTGTGAAACATATAATTAATTATACCCCACGCAACGAGTTGCGGAGGGTATAATGTTTTGACCCGTCCGTCCGTCCGTCATTCTGTCCGTCTGTCCGTCCATCAGTCTGTCAGTCCTATTTCTTGTCATCGCAACTCCTCTCAAACCACACAACAGAATTTCACGAAACCTTTTTAGATGATAAGGACATACTATGTAGTTGTGCATATCGACAGGAAATTACGATTCAATTTTTTTTCTAGGAGTTACTCCCCTTTGAACTTATTTACTTTAATGTATTACTGCAACAGTTTGTCATCGCAACTCCTCTCAAACCACACAACAGAATTTCATGAAACCTTTCCAGATAAAAAGGACATACTACGTAGATGTGCATATCGACAGGAAATTACGATTCAATTTTTTTTCCAGGAGTTGCGCTCCTTTGAACTTATTTGCCCAATATACTACTGCAACCTTTTGTCATCGCAACTTCTCTCAAACCACACAACAGAATTTCATGAAACGTTTTCAGATAATAAGGACATACTACGTAGATGTGCATATCGACAGGAAATTACGATTCAGTTTTTTTTCCAGGAGTTACGCCCCTTTGAACTTATTTGCCCAATATACTACTGCAACCTTTTGTCATTGCAACTCCTCTCAAACCACACAACAGAATTTCATGAAACTGTGTAGATAATAAGGACATACTATGTAGATGTGCATATTGACAGGAAATTATGATTCAATTTTTTTTCTGATACAATTTTTTTTTCTTACACTTATTTTATTTCTCCAATGACAATGTGGGGACGTGGGGTATGTGAGCGCGCTCACTAAGGTTCTGTCATTGTGGGTTGTTTTGATTGCGTGTGTATATTATCCAGTTATATTTATAATTAGTCTTATCTTTATAAGCAGTGACGTAACTTTTTTAACATGAGATGAATTTAGAACAAAAGAGAGGTAAAATGTATTCATGCAGTGCAACAAAACACACACAAAAAAATCATCTGATATGAAAAAAGAAGACTGTTTTAAATGTTAAAAGTTTCTTCATGAACCACCACATCTAAACCAGACATGGTTGTATTTTTTACAGGGTGTAACTTACTGTGGAGAATCCAAAGCCTCCAGCCTAACCATGCAAAATGTCCCCTGGCATGAGGAAGTTGTACACTTTGTCAAACAGCTTACTGATAGATTGGAAGGATACGAAATAGCTTCTGAGCATGAACATTCTAACTGTATACTTATTGCGAATACTAAGGTTTGTTTTATTTGGAATCCTGAATTTCAAGTTTGTCCAACTTAAAATGATTCCTCTGTTTTCACGTGAAATTGTATGCATCACAGTAGAAAATATTTGAAACAAAAGTAATTGTTTTTACCATTGTAAGCTAAGGTCAAATGCTATAAAAGTAGTGTTAGTTTTATTAATGATCTGAAATAATGAATTCATGTAATGATTTATTAAGAAGATATGTTGGCTAGATATAAAAAATACAAAAACATATATAAAGACAAATACCCATATTTCCAACAATAACAAGAAAAAATACAAACATTTTCATCTCAGCATACAGTTTTCAACAATTGATAGGTAGCTATATACAGTTCACAATTGACGGGTATCCATATAATTCACAATGTTTAAATAACAAACATCAATGAAGAGTAAATAAATAAATATTTGAACCCTCATAAAACTGGATGTAATATTATATTGTAATCTATTGCTGCATGTGAATTAAATTGATAAGAAAAATCACTGCTGCTGGTTAACAATCAGTTCCCTGATCAAGCCAACTTCGAATAACCAGTGCTTACATATGCATGAACTTAGAATTGGTGTATTTTCCTGGAAAAATTTGACGTCTCAAAGCAAATATTTTCATAAAGGCCTATGACACATTTTTGTCTAGCCTTGACAGAGTCAAAAAGCAAGACATAGGTATGCTGTGTTAGGCAGGGTCGACGTCCACAATGTATTGCATTGGCACATTTCATTTCCATGGAGATTATTTGACCCTGCTCCCTCAGTCATGGTCTATTGACTTTAAAACTTTTGATTAGTTTACATGTATTAGTTTGCGATTAGGTCAGTTTATGGGGAACCACTAGTGGTAGGTCAGTGATATTTTGTTTACATATATATAAGCATTGGTGCATTTCATTTCCATTGAGATTGTTTGGCCCTGTACCTCCAGTCATGGTTCATCAACTTTTAATATTTTGCATAACTTACATGTTAAAGTATTTCTATTTTAATTTCAAAATTTGCATTTTACTATCAAAATAACAAAAAGGCGAGACATATCTCTGTGTTAACAGTTTATTATACCTTTAATATCCCAGGTCAACTGGGGCAGTTCATTCATTAAAATAAAATTGGAAACTTATATTTTGACATGATTTAAATGATATATTGTGTTTGTCAATTTCCCAGTTTGTAAAGATATGTTATTTGTGCATTCCCATGCTAAGGTTGCATCAACCTCATGCTCTTTTTGGTTGTGTGATCTTCGACATTTTATATTGTTTGTGACTTTCCATATTTTCAATGGTTACCTGTCTGCCTGATGAAGATTATTAAAATCATGCATGTTTTAGAAACAAGGTTACAAATGTTTTTTAGCTTTAAGTGTTATTATTTATATAATTGATAAAGGAATTTTATAGTTTGATAAAAAAATATTTGTAAAGTATATCAAAGTCAATTCAAATCTTAACAGGGCTGTAAGAAATGTAATTGTTTTTTCTTTCATTACAGTTTAAAGTGGATGGTGAATGGTGGACTTGGATAGATTACCCCAAATTTCATCAGTTAGTCAAGGACTTTAATGAATCACAAAAGACATTCTCTGCTGAAGATTACATGGCTAAGACTCCATCATGGGCAGTGTTTGGAGCAAAGGAACAAGGCTTTGATCCTGTGGAGACCAGATTTTTCAGGAAAAAACAAAAGGATATTGGAGGATGCTGATATTTGCATATGTTTTATACCTGCTGTGATTTTATAATTATTGTCATGATCATGATGATATTGTGATGAAGGATATTAAAATATGTAGCATAAACTTGTCATGAAATATTGAATGATAATTCATATGTTGTGTGTTAGAGTTATTTCATTGGAGAGGTTGGGTAACCAAAAGGTTATACATGACTTTTTCGTATACATCTGTTTTATGACCTCAAAAGTATGAATTCTTACACATGTTTTATAAGTGTTGATGAAATCTTTTATCTCTGGATATGTGTACTTGAATATGAACTATAAGTAATAAAAACTAATTTTATGAAATTGATTTTTGTATAAACTCTGTCTCTTAATCACAAAATTAAGTGCAACAGACTTTTATTTTCAGTTTGTGCATGAGTGAGAAGTTCAGGTGAACCCCTTCATAGTAACCTATATCACCATAATAAATCATATTTATCCATCACATATTCTTCCTCATTTATGTTTTATATCGAGCTTACATAAAAGCTAAAAGAACTCACCAAGGAATATATTTTTGTCCCGGCTGATAAGGCTGCTAACAATATCATTATTGTTTGACGTAAATTTTACATTGATGTTCTACAAAAGGAAATCACGAATTCAACAACATTCCAACTGACTCCATTTTCGGAAAATGACATCTGTAACAAACATAAACTTTTAGCTACCTCTTTACAAGTAGAACCAAATACAATGAAAGTTCCAACTATGTACTGGCTTCTGAAGCTGCACAAAACTCCTTACAAATATAGATTTATTTCTTTTTCAAGCCATTGTTCCACTACTAAACTATCTATTCTACTTACTAGTACACTTGGTACAATCAAAAACCTGGTAATAAATTGTTCAAATAAGGCCTTTGAAAATAGTGGAATTAATTACTTTTGGAGTGTCAAAAATTTGTTGGAAGTACTTGATAAATTGCATGCTTATATTGGTGATTTCGAATCTGTTCAAAGTTTTGATTTTTCTACCCTATATACCACATTGCCTCATAATCTTATTAAGAAAAAATTCACACACCTGATTAAATGGGCATTTAAAAAGTGGGAATGCGAATATATATGTTCAAACTCTTTTAGGTCATTTTTTAGTAACAACAAACAAAAGAACTATGTCAATTGGACCTGCTTTGATACTATAACTGCCCTTGAATTTTTACTAGTTACTAGATAACATTTTTGTTCCTTATGGAGATTCCGTATATCGTCAGGTTATCGGAATTCCCGTGGGGACTAACTGTGCACCACTTATTGCGGATCTGTTTCTGTATTGTTATGAGTTACAATTTATGACTAAAATCAGCAAAGACACATCGAAACAACATCTGATTCAAAAATTTAATAACACTTTTAGATATTTAGATGATATATTGGCTCTCAATAATGACGACTTCAGTATGTACACTAAAGAGATTTATCCTACCGAACTGACTTTAAATAAAGCTAATACTAACAATGAACACTGCCCTTTCTTGGATCTTGATATCTTTATCTTTAACGGGAAGCTTAATACCAAAATTTATGGTAAAAGAGATGATTTTTCATTTCCTATTGTTAATTATCCATTTTTAGATGGTGACGTTCCCTTGTCGCCATCTTATGGTGTTTATATATCTCAAATTGTTCGATTCGCTCGTGTATGTAACAACGTATTTGATTTCAACGAAAGAAATCTCTGTATTACTGAAAAATTATTACACCAGGGTTTTCGATATCACAAACTAGTCAAAACATTTACTAAATTTTATCATCGGTACAAGGACATCATTCGTAAATATAAATCAACATGCAAACATCTTATACGTTCAGGTAATTCACATCCAATATTTTATGGTAATATTCTTTACAAAGCACAAAAATGTCGGCATTCACCTCAAAAGCTAACCAAACCTTTAAACAAACTTATTCGGAACGGATATAGTTACGATTCTGTTGTCAAGTCATTAAGGATTGCATATTTTGGTATTAATATTGATTCACTCATAGGGTCTTTGCATCGGAAATAAACACATTTATTCTATAACCATTTGTTGGCATAATACGGGTTATGTTCTTCTCATATATTTTATGATGATATAATACTAAACCCCTAACGGGAGGGATTGTACTTGATTTTCATATGATGAAGACATAATCTTTCAATCAGTTTAATTAAGGTCTGGAGCTGGCATGTCAGTAACAGCTAGTAGTCCTTTGTTCATTTATGTATCATTGTCATTTTGCTTAGTTTCTTTTGTTACCTATTCTGACATCGGACTCGGACTTCTTTTGAACTGAGTTTTACTGTGCGTATTGCTATGTGTTTCTTTATTCTACATTGGCTAGATGTATAGGGGGAGGGTTGAGATCTCACAAAACATGTTTAACCCCGCCGCATTTTTGCGCCTGTCCCAAGTCAGGAGCCGCTGGCCTTTGTAAGTCTTGTATGTTTTTTTAATTTTAGTTCATTTATATGTTTTGGAGTTTAGTGTGACGTCCATTTTCACTGAACTAGTACACAATTTTATTTAGGGGCCAGGTGAGGAGCACCTCCGGGTGCGGGATTTTCTCGCTGCGTTGAAGACCCATAGTTGGCCTTCGGCTGTTGTCTGCCCTTTGGTCGGGTTGTTGTCTCTTTGACATATATATTCCCCATTTCAATTCTCAATTTTATAAAGGTTATTTATGAAACCGGTGTTGCCCAAACAGACATTTTTTTCCGTCTTTTCTAGTAGTTTTGTGGTTAGCAAATATTTTTGTTACATTTACCCCTTCCTCTTTTTAAAAGTATATTAAGATAAACTGAACAATTAAAAACTCTTCTTAATGAATAAGAGATTTTGTACAGATTGAATACAAAGTCTTTTTCAGGTTTAATCCACCATTTACTACATAAGGAACGCCTGTACCAAGTCAGGAATATGACAGTTGTTTTCCATTTGTTTGATGTGTTTGAGCTTTTGATTTTGCCATTTGATAAGGGACTTTCCGTTTTGAATTTTCCTTGGAATTCGGTATTTTTGTTATTTTACTTTTTTCCATTTGTTCATGTATCATGTGTATTACTTGTTAGTTTTTTATGGCATTTTTACATATTTGTTTACCTGTTTTCTTGAGGAAAGGTTGAGATTTCTTTTTGGTGTATGACAGGTGGAAACAAATTAAACTCTTTGAACATAAAAACAAGATGATAAGGTATAACTGCTAATGAGATTACCATTCACAAGAGACCACAGGATAAGGATTTAAACAATAGACCCTTTAACAATTTGATTAAACCAAAGTTTAAAATTGTCATACTCTTTCATTCTTTTTCACATAAAAAATATAGTTTTTACCATTTAAGGGTTGTAGTTGATAACCAATATCTGCTATCCATGCAAGTACTAAACTTTCAAAATGAAAAACAGCAATATATTTTGTGGCACAATTTTCTCATTGCAAGTTCTAGCGGTTGTAAAGACTGGGAATCTACAACAGCATTACATTTGAGGAAAGTCCAAGAATATCTGACTCTTTTAATACTCTTCTGATTATATCTGCCATTTTGTTTCCCTTCTAGTAAGAAAGTGTTGACTTGGGGCTGCTCTATTATTAAATGCATGGTGGACATTTTTTTAGACGTCAACGCACCCATTATATAAAATTTTCATTTTACTTATAAATCTTACAAAATTCTAAAGAAAATGCAATCATTTATAATTGATAAATTTAATTACCTCCAACCCCCAACCATGATCAATTTTGGAACAACCCTTATGTTGTTTTAATGAAAATTATCTTGCTCAAGCATTTGCAATTTAGTTCCAAGTTATTAAAGAAAACGTATTCTTACATTTTTACAAGCCAATAATGAATCAGCATTGTTTTTTTTAATTTTTTTTAGCTTATTTTGACATAATTTAACCAAACTGACTGCTAATAGGAAATATTATTTGCATATATATAAATACGAAGATGTGGTACGAGTGCCAATGAGACAACTCTCCAACAATGTGTAAAAAGTAAACAATTATAGGTCAAAGTACGGCCTTCAACACGGCGCATTGGCTCACATGTTTGTTATTGTTGTTTGTCAATCTGTTCTTTCGTCTTTTATAATGTTTTTAACAATGGTAAGTGCTGTCTGTTTTTATTGGACTTGTGATTTTTGACCGCCACCTTTTTATTTTCTCTCTCTGTATTTTTTATTCAGAATATGGAGCTCTATAACTAATGGGACCAATTAACATATCCAATTCAAAACCCAGTTTTTCAACAATATCATTTGGATAATACGAACCGTATGAAGCTGTATGCAAACATCTTTTATGTGTGTTTTGTTTTCATCATGTCACATGCTGAAAACGAGAAATCTTATTAACTGGTTGTTAAGTTTATGCTTTTAGAATAAATCAGCATTACATTTTTTAGAAAAATAAGGTTCAGTACACGTTTTTGCTCTTGTTCGTTGTTAGTATCGGAAATATTACGGCATTTTTTAGGGATATTTGGATACATAGTAGAAGCATGGTGTCAATGTGTAAAAATAATTTAAGAAAGAATCACTTTTATCAACAACAACAAAAAAAAACAAACAAGACAATACTGTATAAAATGCATTTGATAGGACCTTATCATGCCGAACATATCACTATTTTACTGTTCTCGTCTGTATGGCCCTTGGGAAAGTTTGTTATGCCTTACGAGCTAATTATTTACAAAATAATAACCAGTTTAACATATTGGTTTGGCAGATATCCAGACAAAGACTATATTATATGCGCCGTTTATCAATAAATCTCCAGGAACCCAATGCAACAACTTTATTGATGACGACATGTAGTAAGAAAGTACTGTTCCTTTGAATTTGTTTAACATTTTCTAGTATTTCATAGGCCATTGTCCATATGAACAGCTTTGTTGTTTGCTTTGATGAAAAAAAATCTTTATAATAAATGGAGATATCCTCAATAACTTCTTTAATCAAGCATGTCAAACAGATACAAATATATATAATGTTCATTTACATTTCAAACAATAATTCTTTGGTTTTTATGTGCACACAAATGCCAAAATCTGACTGGTGTTGTAATTTGAAATAAACAGTTTAGATAAATCATCACTGAAAGCAAAACAATATGGACTATTCAGTCCATCTTTTTTTGTCAAAATACTTTGATAGATTTATCTTCAAATGAAAACATTTTAAAATTTGCTGCATGGTGTTCTAGTAAATATGCATTTCCCATTCTGTCGTGTTTAACACCAATCACTTGGTAAGAATCTTCAGTAGAGATAGACGTAACTGTTCCATCTAATCCTACGCATTTCAATTTTGATAATTGAGCATAGTAAAATTGCTGTTTGTCCCAAACTGAAATGGAATAAATATAATTTATTTCCCCAACATCAAGTGTCTTCTTTAAGTTACCGATTCTGTCTATAATGTGTATTTTACCAATACCACCAACAGCAATTT